CTAAGTAAATATTTACGTTTTACTAAGTATGCCGAGAGTTTTGCCCCAGCTGGTGTTGATATGTTAGCCCGCGCTCAAAACACTGTACTATGCATACTCAGTAGGGCGGTAACCAGACTTCAGAACAAGACGAGGCAAGTTTCGAGCGCCGATGGCGGGAGCCGCAAGGGGGTCTGGGGGCATGCCCCCCCGGAAAATTTTGAAACCTAGAGGCTCAGAAATGCTCTTTTAAGCATTTTCCGTGGCATTTTTCTTCAGAAAAGTCAATCTCGGGCAAGTGTAGAAGTTCACTTTTTTATTGCTGAGCGATACTGGTGCCAAGTTAGTGACCACCTGCATTTTAAAGCATTCAAATGTTGTAACACGTATTATAACAATTAAACGTTTCTTCCAAAAACAAAAAAAAGGCCAAAATCAAGACGAGGTAATTGCCTCGTCTTGCGTCATGCTAGCTACGGCCCTGCCCAGTCAGAGCTAACGGCGTATCAGACATCTAAACTTTCACTGATGGAAGAGGCGTTATCGCGGCACCGTTCTATGCAGTTTTAAACGGTGTTATAATCGTTTTTAAATCAGATAACACACTAAAGGCACCGGATTTGGGGTTGCCGAAAGCAAAATTTGTGCCCACAAAAATGCAAAGAGACAAAAACTTTTATCGATGCACTTAAGATTCCAGTCATACAAAATTCAATACAACGATTTCCTTCTACACAATATCACACTGCTTTGTTTGATGGAATGTTTAATTTTCTCCAAGCAGAGTATAGTGTTAAGCAAAGGTGCTGATTTGCCTTAAAAATGCGAAGATCTTTTTGAATTTAGTAATATTAATAATTGTCGCCTTACTATATGAAAAAATTTTCTATATTGCTTTTTAATTGGAAAAATTCTGGAAAGATCTTACCTTCAATGCTGACTTCAAACTGTAAAACAAGCGCTATTAATAACCAATGAATCCACGTCATTTTGAGACGGACCTTTTATTGTTTCTTCTTCTGGGGCTTTTCCAGAGGCTTTGGAAAGCCTGACTAATGAGAAAATGAAAGCAAAAATAAAAATAAAAATGAGGACACCGTGAGGGATTTCAAGTCCATGCAATGTATTCTTATGCACTCTTATGTGCTTGTTTAATGGTTCGCTGGTTTTGACCTGAAAAAGCTAACAAAAACTATTTGTTTATCGTCACTACACTTGTATGTATGTCGTGGGACTAGAATTTTCTTCGAGCACATTTCAAGGTCTAAATGCGTTGTGTGTGATCGTATGTCCTAACAGCTTGTTTATCATGATTGTGACTTTTTTTTCACATATTAAATGCACTATACTTCACAAATTAATGTACACCACTATTCAGTTCAATGATTGAAACTGA